CCATCAGTTAGTGCTAAGTTAACATCCTGTAGAAAAACCGACGTTATGTCAAAAATCCTACATTATGGAAAAAACAACCTAATGTCAGTTTTCAAAATACGTAATACCCCTGCCGAGCAATTTTTACTGACATTATGGTTCCTTGATGTCAGTTTCATGGCATAAAAGAAAATTCGAATTCTCTTTGCCATGGTTTGAACCTCGTCGATATAAGCTGCCATGGAACGTTTAAGTATAGAACTTGTGCTATCTTCATTATAGATCCAGAATGAGGTAATTCATCGTCATCCACAAAAAAGTTGGTTAAAAATCGATGGAAAGCGAGTAAACCCACTAAAAAGTACGCAATGCTGGTGTGGTACCTAATATATTATTTTTGTCTAATCAGCTAAACATATTATTAATCGATATATTTCACCGCTTTAATAAACGTCATGATTGTATACACACATTGTAAAGATGTAGCTGAATAAACATAAACATGTTACATATTAAAAAATAGTTGATGACAACGAACTTCACTAGCCATAGTTTAACAAAGAGACAAAGAAAAAATCGTTGCATAGTGCGTTCCTTTAGATTCTTAAGAAGTGATGTAGCTTAGAGAAAATGAAATGTCAAGTGTATGTTTCCAAAAAGATTCTTAAGTATGATGCAATGCTGTTCTCGTAAAATATAAAAATACATTAAACTTGATTTTTGCTTGACGTGTTATACTATCTGCTTATGGTGTTCCATACTTGAATGGATATAGTGAAATGGTAGGTAGTATGGACAGAGACCTTTTTATATCTGAAAATAAAAAAGTATTAAGTCCGTTTTTACGTATATATCTAATCACGTCAAATCTCTAATATCACATTACATTATTATATTGAACCGATTTTGTTCAAATTTTGCACGATGACAAAGTTTCATAGGTGTAACGTAAAACTAGACGGACGATTTTGGAAACTTCAGGGCTGGACTCGATTGTTTTTCACTTTTTTGTTTTTTACCAAAATCTTTTATGGTATTGATATGTTGGACTGTGTACAAAAAAGGTGTGGTGCTAATCAATTAGCAAAATGAATTGATTATCACTCTTTGCTGTCTTAGTTAAACATTTTTATTTATGCAAATATGTATCAATAAATAACGGTTGTATCTATTTCTCAGCCAGTGGGAGTGCGACAAATAATAGGTCGATTTTCTAGCCATTAAATTTAATAACATGTTTAGACGTTTGCTCATGCATGGTAATCTCGGATTTGTTCAGTCCTACATACTGAGTGTTTACGAGTACGTTATAGCTACATACCTGTTGAAATGTTGTTATTTATTGTCTGTATTTTGCAAGAAAATAGAATATAAAATGTATTCGAACCAATTCCTCATCTTTCGTTACATAATAATAGTAATCATTTATTATCAATTTATGGCAGGGTTTCCCAACCTTTTTTTTGTTGAGGCCCCCCGGACTATAAATTATATTTTCATACCCCCCTTTACTTTTTCAATAAATACAAAAAACACACATTATATAGGAATATAGGTACAAAGACTTTTATTTTAATTCTAATAAAGAAACTTTAAAAGTTTAAATAAACTAATAAATGTTTTTTATCGCAAAACTTGGATAAAATGAGAGTAGGTACTAATGAGACACTTGAGGCTGCAGTTAAAAATTTGTCCTATCAGGTGTTGTGTAACTATGCTATAAGAATATTTTAAACACCTCATTTTAGAGCAAGTATGTTGCAGAAAGCAAATTTGCATTCCACACAACATTAAGCCAGCATTTTGGTGTTCAGGCAACAACAATAGAGAGCTTTTATGGCTGAACGGTTCTTTTACCAAAAGCTTATAGCACTACTTTGCTAGTTGGGCAGCGCCACCTAGTTATTATAATTATTCGCGACTCGAGACCTGGAGTACTCGACAACTAGAAGTTTTGATAACAATTTTCGGCATGTTTTCTACTGAATTGAATAACTTACTTGACATCGGCCTGCAATTTGAATTGTCCTGTTATCATTCTTCAATATAAAATTGTACAATGCCTGGAAATACGATCAATGGAGAAGGCCGACAGCTCGTGCTAAATTTATTAGAGTATTTCAAGGAAAAGAATGAAAACAGCGGTCCCCTGTTACCCACTTCATGCATTCTGGAGAGAGTAGCAGATGCGCTGAAGATTAGTCTGTGATCTTGGTACGGAGACTCGATCTGTTTACTTATTTCATATGGCGTTGATGACGTAATCGCCAAGAACGGTGACTAAAACTATATCTACTTTATAAAATCGTATTTTTGAGCTAGCTTGACTCAACCCATATTAATCATTTTAATATTTTGTTGTTGTATTTACAGCAGCTATCCATTTATGTCTTAGATCTAATTTCTATACTAAGTGACATATAAATCCGAACACCCAGTTTAAATGGTTTTATTTTAATAAAAGTTGGTGAATGTATTTATCTTACTGTAAATAACAAGTGAAAAAATTTTCAGCCTTATCAGTTGGACATTCCGATTTTTATACTGCTTTTTTTTTAATTCACTAACGCTCTAAAAATGAATATTTCAGCCGCAGTAAAGAATCAACGTTGGCGGATTTTGATTCTTGACATCCTTTACGATCGGTTACGATGCCTAGAGTACGGAGACCTGTACGATTTCGTCAAGTTAGTGAGTTTGATAGGGGCCGTATAGTGGGACTTCGGGAAGCTGGACTTTCTTTTCGGGCAATTGCAGTTAGAGTGCAAAGAAGTGTAGACACTGTGGTTAGGTGTTGTCAGGCATGGCTTCGAGAAGGCCGTACGCAAAGAGCAAGGGGCACTGGACGCCGCCGTAGAACAACAGACCGTGAAGATCGCCGCCTAAGATTATTGGCCTTAAGGGACCGTTTCTCTACTACCAGGTCCATTGCAAATGAATGGTTTGCAGAACACGGAAGACCTATTGGCATGCGAAGTCTTTACCGACGAATGAGAAGTTTTGGCTTGTTTTCATACCGGTCACATTGGGTCCTCCCTTTAACTCGAGAACACCGACGTAATCGCCTTGAGTGGTGCAGACAACGGTCACTCTGGGATCAGGAATGGAACAGTATTGTCTTTAGTGACGAGTCTCGATTTTGTTTAGGCATGCACGATGGTCGTGCCAGGGTTAGAAGGCGACGTGGTGAAAGGAGGAATCCACAGTCTTTTGTTGAAAGACATGTTCATCACACTGTTGGAGTTATGGTATGGGGTGCTATAGCTTATGGTTCCAGGTCACCTTTAATCTTCATCAGAGGTAACATGAACGCGCAGAGTTATATCCACGAAGTTCTAGAACCCCATCTTTTACCCTATCTTGACACCCTGGCAGATCCAACTTTCCAACAAGATAATGCCCGACCACATGTTGCAAGAGTCACAATAGACTTCTTTCAACATAATGATGTCACATTGTTACCATGGCCACCAAGATCTCCCGACTTATCCCCAATTGAGCACGTGTGGGATATGATGGGTAGGAGATTGCTCAATTTGCAACGTCCTCCTCAGACTCTAGAAGCACTTCGAGAGGAGTTGGTGGTTGCCTGGAATGAGATACCACAGGAGGACATTGACCACCTGATCAGAAGCATGCCTAGACGCGTTGGAGAATGCGTAGCACATCAGGGTGCATCCACACATTATTAAAGGTCAAAGGGCTTTAAAGCGGTGCAATCATTTTGAAATTTTTATCATTTACTTATTATGCTTCATTAAGTACTTATACAAAATTTTACTAAAATAAAACCATTTAAACTGGGTGTTCGGATTTATATGTCACTTAGTATATATTGTTGTAGGAAACGGATTAAATTTACACTTACTATTTTTTCTTGTTTGATTGTTTTTCACTTTTTTTTTTTTACCAAAATCTTTTATGGTATTGATATGTTGGACTGTGTACAAAAAAAGGTGTGGTGCTAATCAATTAGCAAAATGAATTGATTATCACTCTTTGCTGTCTTAGTTAAACATTTTTATTTATGCAAATATGTATCAATAAATAACGGTTGTATCTATTTCTCAGCCAGTGGGAGTGCGACAAATAATAGGTCGATTTTCTAGCTATTAAATTTACCTGTTGAAATGTTGTTATTTATTGTCTGTATTTTGCAAGAAAATAGAATATAAAATGTATTCGAACCAATTCCTCATGTTCCTTTGTTGAGGCCCCCCGGACTATAAATTATATTTTCATACCTCCCTTTACTTTTTCAATAAATACAAAAAACGCACATTATATAGGAATATAGGTACAAAGACTTTTATTTTAATTCTAATAAAGAAACTTTAAAAGTTTAAATAAACTAATAAATGTTTTTTATCGCAAAACTTGGATAAAATGAGAGTAGGTACTAATGAGACACTTGAGGCTGCATGTTCTGTACCATTTGGTTGATTCTAGGTTCTGTTTTTGCCAGAGCTATCATCAGGTCGCTATCGACATCAAGACGATTTCGCTGTTTAGTTTTGATTAAAACTAGAGCAGAAAATCCTGTCTCACATAAGTAAGTTGAAGAAAAAGGAACTAGTATCTATTCGTAAACCAAGAGAGACGTCGAATTAACAGGCAATCTTTTGATCCAAAATTTCTCCAAAGTTAAAAGATGGAAGTCATCTTTCATGGACGAATCAGCCTTCATTTCTAGAAATTCTTCCTGAACTCCTGGTAATTGTGACACATCGACAACAAATGAATTTTTCTTGTCATGTGCTATATTGATGACTCTGAATTGATGTCTCGATAGTATCGACGAAATTCGTCTTCCAGCGCTTACAAATGAGTTTTTATGTCAGCTTTTAAATTTGCGTCCACTATTTTATTTTTAATTGCTTCGAGCAGCCGAGATAAAGGTATGACACTTTCAGAAGACACTTTTTGATTCCAAAGTTGAAGCTTTGATATGAACCCCTGAATATAATCATAATTGCTCATTAGAGTGTTTTTTCTGCCCTGAAGCTTCAAGTTTAGCTCATTCAAGGAGTTAAATATGTCAACCTCCATTGAAATAAGGCATCTTTGAACATTGCCAAGAAATCGTGTTTTTCTTTGAACTCAAGAAAAAGAATTACCTCTTCTTTCAATTCATCAAGGTGAGCCAATATGTTGCCTTTGGACAACCAGCGTACTTCTGTATGGAACAGAAGAACTTTGTGATCAGAATCGAGATCCTCTCAACGTAAAGTAAATAACCGACTGTTCAAAGCGCTGCTCTTGATGTAGTTTACAATCCTATAGCCGAGTCCAAAGTCTGGCGCAATTTCTGTAGCAATGTTTTGGAAGCCTAAGCTTGCCGATGAATAACACAATGTGTACTAACCATTGCGGTTTTTTTTTCCTTGAGCTGTTTAGCTAAGCCCGATTGTACACCTATCATTGCAGATGCGCCATCTGTACAAAGTCCAATGAGTTTCTTCCAACCCAAATAATTTTTTTCAATAAAATTTGATATGGAATTAAATATATCGTCAGATGTAGTACCCGCTGTCAAAGATTGGGAGTACAAAATCTCTTCTTGAATGATATCTCCGCCGATGTAACGAACATAAACTATTAACTATGCACAATTAACGATGTCGGTGGATTCATCGCAACTAATGGCAAAAAATCATTTGTGACTTTATGTCTGCTGCAATGTCATCGATTCTACGCTTGACTGCGTTATTCGAAAGAGAAATAGACTTCATTTTTTGTTCTGCATCTCCTCCTAAAATTATCTGCGTGGCTTTTAGGACACATGGTTTTTCACCGATAGTATGAGGGTTCTTTTGCGTTGCTATCATAAAAGCTATTTCAAATGAAGCTTTGAGATGCGGCGATATACCTGTGTGATAACTTACCGATTTATCCAGTCTCATGCGCTTGAGTGATTCTGCTGTAGAAGAAAAAAACTTTATCGTCTTCAAAACCAGAGTAGGATGTTGTTGCTTCGAATGCCTTGCAAGGCGATTGGGCCTCATGCTATCATTACTTAAAACTTTCATACATAACACACACTGAGGCAATTGTAACTCGTCCTTTTCTATGAAGGTATCTCGAAACTTAACGTAATCTTGGGAAAACTTTCTTTTTTTAGCTGCCATTTTGCACCTATAACAATAAAACAAATAAGTATAATCGATATTATAAACAAACACTAATAAAGTAGACACTTATATTTGAATACAAATAAAGTCAGTAGACAACGTAACCTAATTGTAAAAATAAACAAGCGTGCGATACGGCAGACAAAGATCAACTGCCCGTCTCCCTCCGCCCATCGTCCTGCTACCGTTTGCCGACGGTGAAACCCCGGGTAACATGACATCACCCGAATCCTATAATTGGTGGACCAAGATTGTTAACATAAGTTATAAATAAATAAGCAAAATACCTACATGTAATTACCAATTATATGCCCATTATTTTATCTTAATAATGTAATGTATTCAACAGTATATTGGCCACCGGGAGATTTATATTTTTGTAGGCAGGTGGACGTTATAATAGTACATAATTTTAAATACATTTGGAATCAATATTAGGTACTTAAGGTTTGTGATGTGGTAAAAAAGTCCCAATGGCCGATCTATGAACGCGTCTCCACTCAATCAACAATTTAGTAAATTAAATAAAAATGGTAACTGAAGTTTGTAAATACATAAACTTACCTTGTAACAGTGAGACACAATAATTTGACATACTCAAACAGATTTCTCAACAAAACATGTACATTGAAACGTCAAATTTTTCGCAAGCTTGTGGGAATGATGCTCATCCGCGTCTGGTAGGTACACAGTTGTTTTCTAAATGATGAATGTTAAGCAGACCGCGGCGGGGGTGAGCGCGGATTTCATGTTATGACTTGTCGAAACTTGTATAAACTGCAATTGACGATGCCGGGTTTTGAAACAGCGGTTGACAGAATAAGTGAATATGATATTTAATTTCTAATTTTATGCGTGTAAGTTAAACATTACATTGTAATGTTATTTGTTAATGTTGTTTGTTTTTTTTTTCTTTCTAAAATGCAAACGCTTCCCGCCTCCCTTGACATCTCTCTATGCCCCCTTGGGAGGCGCGTCCCCCTTGTTGATAACTCCTGATTTATCGGTTAATGAATTTCTTTAGAGCAAATAAAACAGTATGTCCTCTCCATCTTGAAACACCGATATGTGTAAAACGTGTCAATCTATACATCTCCGTGGTGCATAATGCAATTACTATAGATATAGACCAAACATGAGTAATGCTTTGGTTGACTTTTTTGCCTGGTGGGGATCTATCGGTCACTCGCAGGTCTAACGACGATGACGTCCCGAGGTATAATGTGTGTAGGAACTTTGAAAAGAATCTTTTACATTTGCTGGTTTTAAATTTAAAGTAAGAACACAAACATAGTACCTATGAAAGTTGGAGTTAGGCTGATATCAAATCTTGGAAAATATGTATTTGAATGTGTGTAAACCATCATGGTCTGTTGAATCTTCAAATTGGAAATGAAGTATCATAACATTCTTACATCTAATGCCGGGAATACTCTTGGGCCGAGGCAAGCCGCGCACCGAGTGAGGCAGCCTCGGCGCGCCGCGAAGTGATTTGCCGCGAAACGAAATGCGATTCACCGCAACAACGTGTTGATACAAGCCGCGGCATGCGCACAGCTACCAGCAAGCGGAATCGCACAGCAACCCTTTGTTGCGTGAAGCAGTGGATTACACGGTCGAGAAGATACGCGCGACTCGCACTGTGAACAAAATTAAATTCATGTTCAGACCTTTAAAAATTATAGTTTTTTAAACCAAAGACCTAAAATTCAGTTCAGGACAAGTCAAAAATTTATATAGTACAATGTAACAGTTCTTATATCTATCACACCTCACATATTTACATAAAACAATTCCTTTTCTTTCTCTTTTCGCTCCTTCTTTCTTACTTTCTTTCTCCCTCTCCTCTTTCCTCACAACTTGTCTGGTTTCTGGGCCACCTGACCTGACAGACTGACGACAGACATTAACATTACAGTGACTATGACCTAAAGGCTAAGGTACTCCGGACCGCCTTGAGAAGCAACGACGAGTAGTAGTAGTATACTCACAGCTGATCCGTAAAGGGGCACATGCTCAGTGATTACTTATTTAGTGAAGCGTTTCATTTTGATTTTCTGTTCTTTTTGTTTTATTACTTCGTTTACTTGTAGAAGATTAGAAGATGGTGCCGAAAACTACGTAAGCTTGATTGATTTCACTGATTTTGTACGTGAGGACTGAGGGAATTGAAATAATAGATGATTTAATAATTTATCTCATCGGAGTGGAGCAATGAATAATGAAATTAATAACACAATTTGTAAATAACCAAAAATAGCCTACTGGCGCGGCTCTATATCCACTCTGAGGCAAATGCAGATGGAAAATTCCATACACACTGCGCACGAACGAGGCATGTCTCGGCCGGTGCTCACTTTGATGGACCGACAGCCGATGTAGTCCAAGAGCTAGTAACACACGTTCCATGAAGTGTTTGATGCACCTTAAAATTTTGTGTTATAGTATCTATTGGATAGATGAGCAGGTAAGCAAGTGTTGGGTTGCCCTACCTGGGGACAACAGGTACTGCGCATAGGAGAAAGGCGTAAAAAATAATTTGCCCAAAAAAAGTGTTTCAGAGACCAACAAGCAGAAATTTAAATTTAAAATCTCATAAAACACAAAAATTAATAAGGCAGACACTTTTGAGGGGTTAATTATTGGAAAACGTGAAAATAAATATTAATTTCAATAGACACAGGTAGCGCGTAGTCGTGGATGTGAGAGCACCGATTACCGGCGTAGCTACGGTCTTTCTCTGTGCTCTCATTGACTGTTGGTCACGTGTTCTTATACAGCCGTACTGACTACACATTTTTAAATTCAATTTTAAAGTAACATACAAAAAATATGGATATTTTGATTAATAAGTTATTTTTAAACTGTTAATCTCTCAAGATAGTAGAATAGTACAATAATAATAATGAAAGAAATTGCATTAATAGTTGTCACATTTAAGCAAAAATAATGTCTGCTTGGGGTTAGCATTAAAAATGCTATGGTTAGTGTTAATGAGAAGTTTATTAATTTATTATAATTATAAAAAATATAGGTAATTTAAAAATTAAAGTTAATTTTTAATTGTCGCCTTCATCACTGTCCTCTGGTTCTTCATCTACAGAATCGTCACTCGAAAACATTTTCGGGCTGCGAACAGGCTCGGTTTGCCTCATTTGGTGCACGACCTGAGCCATCGACTGTCGGTCCATCAAAGTGAGCACCGACCGAGCCGTGCCTTGTTCGTGCGCAGTGTGTACGGAACTTTCGATCAGCATTTGCCTCAGAGCGAATATCGAGTCTATTTTTGGTTATTTACAAATTGTGGCACTAACGTCTATACTTAAATCTAAGCATTTTTCATTGCTCCACTCCGATCTGACAGATAAATTATTAATTCGAGTTTTATTTCAATTCCCTCACTCCTCGCGTGCAAATTCAATGAAATTAATCAAGCTTACCTAGTTTTCGCATTTCGTTTCACGGCAAATCACATCGCGGAGCGCCGAGGCTGCCTCGTTCGGTGCGCGGCTTGCCTCGGCCCAAGTGTATTCCCGACGTATGCAAACTTAATATTTTGTAAACAAAAGATCACTTGTTTTACTGTCAGCAACATTCATCAAATAAACACATGTAAAGGGATCAGGATAATAGTGATCAACCCTGGTATGTATAGGAGAAACATTTTAGCTAAGCTCCTTAATAAGAATGATTCAAAATACAAGATATACATATATGCCATTCACTAAAATAATTAAAACAATATAAATAACTTTTTCTGTAGGCCTCTCTATCATGATTTTGCTGAGGACAATCCCTTATAAAGGCTTATATTTCTTTTATCCCATGAATCAGAGTCAATACAAAAAAATCCAAGTCCTGTACTTTTCAAATTATGCCCTTGAAAAAATTGGAAAATTCGGAAAAATCTACACCGTGTGATGATCTTTTAGTTCCGTTTACTACAAATTTCAATTTCTTCTTAGACGGAGTGACGGACAGTGTCATTCTACGTAGTGACCACAAGACAGACAGTAACGCCACTCTTATTAATTCGTGAATGTTATCAAATTCACAATAAATGTTCAAACTGCAGTAATGCAAGCTTGACGTCTTCTTAAAAATGATCGGGTTATCAGACGGGTGAATCTTCCGTTATTAACAAATTCAGCTGCTTCCGTTATTCTGTTCCGCAACTTAGCTAAATTTTCGATTGGCTATGACTAAACGCTCGCCAGTGAAAAAAAATAGAGTGAATGTAAGTCGGGTGAATGGGCTGGCATCAAGATTCTCTAGCCGAATGGGCAATAATGCGCCCGGTAAGTCTTGCTGGTACAACATGTCTCTGTAAATATTTTGTGGCACGTTTTGCAATATATTTGGTAAATGATTGTGTAAAAAGTCTAAATAAATTTCGCCATGCAAGAACTCTGGCATCTCAGAGGATACAATGATTCTTCCATTTAGAATCCTGTTTACATGTTTACTTCAAAACAATACTGTAATATACCTTGTCTCATCTACATGCTTCTCGAATAAGTTGTGTAGATGCATGTAACCATCTTTTTTAAATGTCGACTCATCAGCACATCAAATTTTCTCCAATAATCGCGGATTTTCCCGGTGCCTCTGTAACATTGTTCGACAAAGCTCAACCTTTGGAAGATAATCTCGGGGTTGTAGAGATTTTCTCTCTGTACGATGTACGGGTGGAGCTCGTCTTTCGCAAGATTCGGTGAGTTGTACTTTTGTGCACTCCCGGTCTTGCTTCTATTTGATGTACTGAACTACTCGGTTCTTCTTGGACAGCTTGTAGTACGACGTCCTCGTAAGGAAATGAAATTCTTCCTCCACTATCTGCTTTATGTGAGAATCGTCCATCTGAAAAAAAATGAGCACATTTGAGCACCTCTCACGATAAAGCCTAGCTGAAGCACTAGCATTACATCTACATTCCCCATAAATGAGGTGCATATTGGTGTATTCCTAAACCGTGTCTACCGACATGGTGACATTTCACAATCATGAATTAATAAAAGTGGCGTTACTATTTGTCTTGCTGTCTACGTGGAATGACACTGTCCGTCATTCCGTCTAAAAAAAAATTGAAATTTTCTCTGATAACTATTATGACTTGGCCTATCCCCCGTGTCCGGCTCGACGTAGACTTCTGGGATACCCTGTAGAAGTGTTTATAAAAACCATCAACAAACTTGATGCTGCAGGATATTTTTTTTGTTCCGTAGTGTGATATCGTTTAACGTACCTATTTCCATATTGTTTGTTTCAGGTTGATATTGAAGTAAATGGCGAGCCATTAGATATTCACATGAAACTTGGTGAAAGCGGCGAAGCCTTCTTTGTTGAAGAAATAGAAGATGATCAGAATGAAGAAATACCCGATCACCTCGCCACTTCGCCCATTCACGTTTCGGAATTTGAAAGCATGTACAAACAGGTAATGCATATTAGTCATACTACCTACAGGAAAGAAAGTTGGGCATTTTTAATATAGGGATCTGGTGGAGTGAAACGTTTTGCATTGTTTCCAGAAAACCTTTCTGGAAAAATTATGTAGCTGTAAATAAACGCAATTAGAAATGCGGAAAAGAAGGTATTAATGCAGAGCAGAGGATTGTTTCTCAATTTTTTATTTCTTTGGTAATATATTTAATTTATCTGTACATTATTCTATACAATTTTTACATAGGGGCAGATATGAGGGCTGGTGGGCCTTACGCATTCATTTATAAATCATTGATGCTCTGCTCATTGATGCTATTCACCCATTATTTAATTTATCTTTGCGTGTTTGGTACTTTTTACGACATGCTAATACTTAAACATCGCAAATTACGTAGTTCAAGTTCATTGAATATATTATCTCCCTGCCAATATAATAATAAATACGATATCAGATATCATATTGTATCTGCTTAAAAATGATCAAAGCAGAAACGTGTCTATGAACTTTCCCTAAATGGCCTATACCATAGTTGGAATGGAGTACAGTTGTATGAATCATTATAAAAAACACAATTTCAGCTGTGTTGTGAATCGGCGGTATTCAAACAAGACTTTTTCTTGAAAACTCATTTCATCAAAATTCCACAAGAATACATTTCTTTAGCCATAGGATTAGACTTTAAAAAAATATTGTTTTGGAGCCCTTACTATTATGCAAAAATTAACAAAGTCGTATTAGAGATAGTCCGCGTCTGTCGACCTAAATGTTTTAAATGGACACCATCATGAGATGCGTTTAACTGGTCGCTACGCTGTCAAAATTTCGTGCCCTTCAAAAATGAATAAAAAAAAACTAATTCACAGTAAGAGATTTTTAATAGAAACTCATAGAATTATCTTTTAATTTTTTTCTTGGATACCCTGTAATATGAGTGGTAAAAAAATTATATACAAACCTGCTTTGAGGATCCCATTATTGATCTCGTACGTTATATCCTTCAGTTTTACGTTCCTCAGGATTAAGTGATCGGTCAATAATGGCTTCCTTCTCCACATATTTACGAATGCACATGTACATGGTTAAAATTCCTGCCATAGAAAATAATTTGGATCGTACCTCTAAGTCGTTTGAACTAGCGGACGGAATATTTTGGACGGGCTACGCCAAAAATTAATTGTGTATATTCAGTGAAGTGATAGCTATAAGTTTTAAATTGATTTCGTTTGGCACATTTTATGTATTCGCATCATACGAGTATTTATTTTTGTCTCGTTCGAGGAAATATACTGATTGCGTACTTGAACTTTGAATCCGTTTTTACCTATTTTGTTTTCTGTACGGGCAATGAATTGCTAGTCTAGATTTTTTTATTAACCCACCTATCGTGTGAATGTTTACAATATGAAAAAAACTTGTATGTTACATGTGATGTACACGCTCTTCAAGTTATTAGGTTTGTTGATTTATCGAATGCAAGTTTCAAATTATATAGTAAACCTGACATATGTTGCTAAACTTTTATAAAAATGGATGAACCGGATTTACTAATTCTAGTTGTCAACTGCTTCACATCCGGTACAGTAAATCCCAGACCATAAAAAATATGCCAAGAATGAACAAAGGAACCAACGTTTTTTCTCTTTCTCTACATGTGACTGTAATATACGAGGTCTGTAAATTAAGTGATGAGACTGGTTTTTTAATTATTTTTATTCAAATATAATTGCAATCTTATATTGACACCCTCAAAATAACTTCCTTCTGAAGCCACATAGCGCTATAGATGGTTCTTCCACTCCTCAGTGCAGTGCTGGAACTCCGATACTGGAATAGCCTTCAGATGGTCGGTTACAGCCATTTGAATGTTTTCGACTGCCCCAAAATAAGTTCCTTTGAGGTGATTTTTCAACTTCGGGAAGAGAAAAAAGTATCAAGTGTTGAAAATAATTACAAATTAAGAAATTACGATGTTTAGTCGTAGTGAACTCGATGTAGAGAAGCAATGAAATCCGTGAAATCAGTGAAAGCAAAGCAAATGTCTTTGACAGCTCAAAATTAATACCGGAAAAATAAAAATGGCATCAAGTAACGAAGAAACACCGAGTATTGAAAAACTGTTAGACAGTGAAATCTTTGAAATGTGGAGGTTTCAAATAAATATCATTTTTGAATCTCAAGGACTGTGTGAATGGTATAAAAATACTTGACCCATCGGCAACTGCAGAGCACAGGACATGTTGGGAAAAGAAAGATGCAAATTCTCAAAACTACATAATTACTACTTATGATAAAAAGATTCTGCTACATGTGATGAGTTGTAAAACATCAGCAGAAATATACAGAAAGCTATGCAGTATTTTTCAGAAAGACACTGAAGATCAAAAATGTGCATTGCAGTGTGAATGTTTGAATCTGACATATCAGAAACGAAGTGATTTGTCTCTTCACATTTCTAAAATTGAAAATTTTGCATACATACTAAGAAATTTGCATCAGGCAGTCAAAGATGAAATGATTATGTCCAAGATATTGTCAACCCTATCAAAGCAGTACAATTACGAGGGTGAATCAAATATGAACCGGTCTTTTCTGTTTGACGCGCCATAGGTAAATGGAGTGGGGCGACGTCTTGGTGTATGTTGGGTGGGAATATCAGAAAGAGGGGAGTCAGTCGGCTTGGCGCGCCGAAGTAGATGAGGCTGTTAGTAGCATCATGTGTGAGCAAGAGTTGCACCTGTCTATTGCGCAACGAATTATCATAACATTTTTGTCGCGGGATGGCGTACAACCTTCTGAATTTTTGCGTCGATTGACAGCACAGTCGGGCGATAAGACATTTTTAAGGGCACAAGTATACGACTGTCAAAATTTTGTCTAAGGAGTACCGAAAGCCTGAAGAGGCAGCACCGCGAAAAACCAAGACCAGTCCTTCTACAGGAAAAGTTCTTGCAACGGTATTTTGGGATTCCAGAGAGGTACTGCTGATTTTCTTCACGATCGCCGTACAGTTAATGCTGCTTATTACTGTCAACTGCTTAACCCTTTCGCAACGGAGGATTTTGTTACGAAATATGTCTGTCTTTACGGGGAAAACGCCGATTTATCCGCTTCCCGTTAGAAATGAACATACGTCTTTGTTTTTTTTTATTTTCATACAAAAAAGGTTATTCAAAAAATACAAATACATACGAGTATATGTAAATAAAAAAACATAACGTCAGTAACAAAATCTGAATATACAAGTACAAATGAAATTTTAAAACAGTATTGCACTTTGTCGCCGGGTTGCACATTTTGCTGATGGTAAAGATGTAAAACTTCCCGATTTCAAATTCTCCACGCCAGACGTTGGGAACATTGTAACTGGGCTGCAATCCGCCTAATCCAACCCCAAATTAATCAGTTCCAGTTCCTCTTGAACATTTTACCGGATACCATGGCCTCTAACTCAGTATTGCCGAAGTCTTAGAAATGAACGCGTAAAAACGGTTGGGGTAGGTTGGCATCCACTAGGAAATCTACGTTGATACTCCCGAGAAGCCGCTAAACCATTTCCATTATAGAATCCGTACAAAAAAATAATATCGGCGTACTCATCATTGTTAAATTCCATTTCACAACACTCAAAAATGGAGAAAATAAACTTTTGACTTGACTTAAAAAAAAATAATATAAAAAAGTAGTAACGATAACAACGTATAACACGTAACTTTGACAAACTATCTCCCAAGAAACGTCAAGTTGGTATCAAGACCTCCTATTTTATTTTGAAACATAAAAATAATTGTTTTTTAGCAAATTGAAGGAAAAATTCGAAAAATTGCGCGTTTGTTGCATACTATTTTTATTTGGAAAAATAATGCCACTAACCCCCTGTATTTCCGCCACTGGTGCACGTTTAAGTAAAGACTTTTAAATGTGGACAATACTTAGGTAAATCCACATACCATATTTTAGTTCATTCCTTTTTACGGTTTTGAAGGTATTAAAAAAATGTTTTTTATTTTTAAACTTCCACACCCCGTATCTTTTTAATGAAGCCTTCGGGGAAAAAATGTTACATAGAAGACCCTTCCCCCACCCTGTATTAGTTTGTTCAGCAATCGTTTAGAACTTCTTGATCGGATATTTTCCCATTCCTCGGTGTCGCCATCGAAATCGCCCTCAGAATCTCTATTCTGTAATATTTCTATCAACTATTGTTCTGTTAACTCACTATGAGACATTTCCAAGATAAATATAACTCAAAATAACTAACGTACTCGCGATCGAAGAATAATGGTCAAATAATGAAATAAACGTGCTGCAACCTGTCTTAACGGTGCCACCTGTGCGACAATTCTCCCCTGTTCACCCACCACCAAAAATTTTCGGTTGTATGTATAGTATTTGGTACAAACAAATACTGCTGATCAACACGTTTCCCGTAGTTAATACACGTTTCCCGTATACCAGACACTTCTTTGTTTTTCGAATGTAACCGACTCCCACAGGCTTATTACCTAACTTCCAACCGACCGATAACCGACTCGAGTTGGTCGATAGTTGCTGTCAAACGCAAATTTCGTATTATGTATCAGTCAGCGCGTCTGAATCGGCGACCGGCTACGGTGGCGCCTCTATGGAGCAACTGGTGAACGAAAAGTACATTCTTTTGTTAGGAGTATCAAAAAATTGGTATTCCCTAACTCATTGACAGCGACCCAACAGTAACTTACTAGCGATTTGATCTGTCAAATTAACAACTGCTCAGTGGTAGTCGACTAGTCGGTCGCTAATCGGTTGCTAGTGTTTTGTTTGGATAAATTTGTCAAAACTATTCATTTTTTTAACAAGAAAGGTAAGTATAACAAGTTCAAATAAGGAATAAAATAGCTTGACGAGTCTAAGAAGTGATTGCATGCCAATTTGTATTTTCAGCAATTTTGAATCTTTGGATGGCTCGTGCATTTTTACTTATGGAAGTATTGGAAAGCGAAAGAATGCACGTT